GTTTATGTTGGATTTCATAACCTGCATAATTCCATGTCATAAAGTTTCTCGAGTGTCTGTATATCCCATTCAATGCCTGCTCTGTGCAGCTGGTTTTACTTCCAAAATACCAGACACCTCTGTACACTTACCATTTGTAAAAAAGAACCCAAACAAACAAATAAAAAAAAAAAAAACCCAAACCCAAGGGATACAGGTACTGCAGGGCTGCCTGAAACCATGGCAAATATGGGATCAAGGGTTTCATTCAGTGGTGCAGCAGCTCTTGGCTTGGATGTGTTTCAGTAACGTATCTGCACAGACCTATCCAAACGTGAATGCAGGCACTAAGCCGTTCGTGCAGTCTGTGCTGCTTCACTTGCACGGGGAGGGCTTCGATGCTAGTGGAGACACGCTGCTTTCGGCATTTGATATCAAGATGGGTTTACCGAAATCAGATGTTGGTTTTTTTAAATTCTTTAGAAATTTTAGGAAAAACAGACCAAACCCAAATCTTTAGCCCTGAGCTTGTTACACAGTTTAACAACGGAACTCCAGTTTTCGTTCCTTCTTCAGACTGGTGTTAGAGGACTGGAGGAAAACCTTGAATAGTCACCCCAGTTTTGCAAATAAAAGAATGCCTTGAAATCTTTCCTGACTACAGTTTGAATCCACCTCCGTGCTCCAATTTGATAATGATAAATACAAGGCACACTACAAAACTTTGCTGGCAGAATATTGCAGCTGCTTTGTGAATAAAAATGTTGTCCTTTAATATTATTGAGTCTTTCTCTCCATGGCTTTCACACCTTTATGTTACTGACCTTTCCTTTTCCACTGTGGCTTTTTTGTTATTGGTATATGACTGGATATGAAAATATTTTCACTCTGATAACCTCATTTAGCTGTATAATCATTCTCCAGCCCCCTGGAGGGAGATGGTTGTGCTCACTTCTCCAGCCAAATTAATCTTTTGCAGTGGTGACAAGCTACATGACAGCTGCTGGGTTGCAGACACATTTGTCTGAAGCTCCTTGATGTCATCCTCACATGCACACTCTGCACCCAGGGAAACCCTCATGAGGGATGTGGTTCCTGAATTGGAGCTTGAATGGGGAAGAGTGAAGAGGAACCTCCCACTCAGTAAGGAGTTTCTGGTGCCAGGAAGGTTTTTTATTATTCTTTACACAGTAAAAAATAAATGAGATGATGGTTTATTTAGAATCATGGCATCATAGGATCATTCAGGTTGGAAAAGACACGTGCCCCAGGCACCTATGAGGCTACAGAGGCTCCTAAGGAGTTGAACGCCCACAGGCTCAGAGGCCCTGGAGACACTGGAACTGCAGACATGCTGGAATTGGGCAGTGGGCGAGGACTTTTTTCTGCTTTGAGATACAGAATGAGGGTAAAACCCTTGGCTGCACAGGAGAGCTGGGAGTTCACACATAACCTGAGCATGGAGAACTGCCAACAACTTAAAGGAGGCAACAGGGAATACAACAACATTCATGGCCTGGTCTTTGCCAACATTGTCCCTCAATAGAGCCTAGTCCTTCGTCCTCTTTCTGTCCTTCTCACTTGGAGGTAGTCAACAGAGTGCCAACCTGCTCCTGCAACCCCGGCATGCACCACCAGCAGATGTAGAGCTGAAACTCACTTTGGGACAGAAGAGCTGCACAAAGGGAGCTGTACTATTCTCCCATCCACACTGCAGTGCCCAGCAGCGTCAGCCCTTTGATTCATGACGGCACCTTGCTCCCATGAGGTAAAGCAGAGCAGGGTCTGGAAGGGATCAGCACTGCTGCTGGCACAGACAGGCAAAGCAAAGGGAGCTGGAAGGGTCTCCCGAGCTATGCATCTCAAGGCACCAAGGAGAACAGGGAACCAAAAGCAGGTTTCCCCGGGCTACAGCTGGTGTGCCACCATGTTACAGCACCTGCAGCAAAGAGCTTGGACCAGCTGAGAACCAAGAGGAACTGAACACTTGTCCACTTTCAGCCTGCCTTATAAATTTCATAGGTTTTAAAGTCAGAAGGGTCAATTCCTGTCAACTTGACCTTCTGTAATACGGAGGTCTGGGAATTTCCTCCAGCAGGACTTGCTCTTAAGAGTATGGCTTGGATTTAACAAAGTCTCTCCCTGTCAAGCATGAATAGTTTAAATCATAGATTTATTTCTTCCTACAAAGTAAGTATATTTCAATAGCTTGACAGCTGGAGTTCATCTGACCTAAAACCCGGATGGCTATATTTGGCCAGATGAGTCTTATCCCTCCAGTGACTCCAAAAGCAAGGCGTTAACTACAAGATGATTCATTGACATTGAAATTTAGGCATGGACAAAAAAGCAAAAAAAAACTTTTAGTTTGCATGGGCCTGCCAGATGAATAACGCCCAGAAGCTCTCTCAAGGCAGCTACATTGAGAACAAATAGAACCACAACTTGCAGCAATTTAAGGGTGTTTGCTGCCAGGGAAATGCCATCTGCAGTTAACTCCATCTTTCCCTCCCCATGCTTTAATAACACTTCTAGAGCGAAATCTGGCACATCAAACTGTCCTGTGCACTGCCCTCCTTACACGGTTAGCAAAGACCTGCCCTAATGTTGTGGTTTAACCCCAGCCAGCAGCTCAGCCCCACACAGCTGCTCACTCGCTCCCCCCTGGTGGGATGGGGGTGAGAATCAGAAGAATACAAGTGAGAAAACTCATGGGTTGAGATAAAGACAGCCAAAAGCCACACACACAAGCAAAGCAAACCAAGGAATTCATCTAATCCTTCCCATCGGCAGGCCCCTCTCCATGAGGGAAGGAATTCATCTAATCCTTCCCATCTCCAGGAAAGCAGGGCTCCATCACATGTGGCAGTCACTTGGGAAGACAAATGCCATCATTCCGAACATCCCCCTCTTCCTTCTTCTTTCCCCACCTTTCTATGCTGAGCATGACATCATATGCTGTGGGATATCCCTTTGGCCAGTTTGGGTCAGCTGTCCTGGCTGTGCCCTCTCTCAGCTTCTCACTGGCAGGGCATGGGAAGCTGAAAAGTCCTTGAGTGGTGTAAGCACTGCTCAGCAACAACTGAACCATTATCGTGTGATCAGCATTCTTCTGGTACTAAATCCAAAACACGGCACTATGCCAGCTACTAGGAAGAAAATTAACTTTAACCCAGCCAAAACCGGCACACCTAATCACGTCTCATAGAGGCCAGACATTTCTGGAAGGTGAGGCTAAGGTCTCCATAGCTCTCCCACCACCGACTGCAGGCTGAGCTTACCTCTTTCCATGTGGTAATGGATCTATGCAACAGCTCTTGGTGCTTCTCCAACAGATCCCAGAAAAGCTGCAGCTTTACACAGTGGGGATATGGATAAGACAAAAATTGACTTGAACCTGGTATTTTATTGCAGTTTTAATATGGGTAATAACATACAACCATTGAGACACAAGTAAGGCCAGGGTACATGCCAGGTGGAAGCAGGAGGGAACTCATCAAAAAAAGAAAAAGAAACCACAAAAAAAAAAACCAAACAAACCCAAAACCCACACCTTGAATGAAAAGTCATAAGGTCTGTAATAAGAATTTTAATATATTGATCAAATCAGTTGGAGGCACCATGTGGTAGAAGAGTAGAAAAAGGTCTAACAGTCCTGAAGGGGAATGAGAATTGACCTCTGCAACTACGTCAATTGATCACAGTAGTATACAATATTTCTACACATATTTTGAGGGATAAACTTTCAAGACAGAAATGGAATAAAGCAGCATGCTGACCGCGGATAAACCATACCAAACAAATTCAGCAACTTTCTTGCCAAAAGCCATTTGATTTCTAGCTGGTGAATTGCAGGAAGCTACATTCATCCCAGCTTCACCGAATTGTTCAGTATGGCAGCATATGGGAAGTTATGAGTTATTTTAAGGCAATACAATTAATACAGGAAAAATACAGCAGGATACAGATCAGCCAAAGAGCCACAATTGTATTTACAGAGGACACAGGCTGGAAGCAAGCTGTTTGTGTAATCCTTCGAGCACTGGGTTCAGGTCTGTAATACTTTTCCTTGCATGGCATAGCTAATAAAAAGAAGTGACAAGTGAAATATGCTGGGTGGTGCCGGACAGTATGCTGAATGCAGAGTAGGATTGCATACTCAGAACTGCATTAACTGAAAGAATAATAAGAGAAGTTAAATGGTACAAAGGGCAAGGGACAAATGCTGACTTCTTGTTCCTTTTGCCTGAAGAATAAGATGCCTGCCAGCAGGACATCCACACCCAAGAGCCCATACCTTGGCCTTTGTACTGAGTACGCACACCCCATCTCCTCCCACCTCCCCCAAAAGTGAAAGGAATAAAACACAAATGGAGCATGGACATGTATTGCCTGAAAGGGTTAATTCCATTTTGCTCTTACAGGCTGAAGAGGAAGAGGGCTTGAGGAAGCTATTGCTATAGATGACTTCCTTTCCATGGCAAAGTTTACTCACAGCTGCTTAAAAATACAATCAACACTAGCATTTTACAGTGTGGGTATTGACGTTTTATTTTTTTTAAATGCAAAAAAAAAAAAGGAATACATCATTTTAGTGACTGGAAATGTGTACAAAGTTACATATTTCAAGGAATTCACACATTAAAGAAACAATTTGAAAGAATTTCTCTTGCAGTGACATTGGATCTACAAATTCTTTCAGAACTGACACTGCTTGTTTCAAATACTCTGTAATATGGCATTGGGAGAGCTAGAGATCCCCTGAGATGCCAGCACTGCTTGTACAGGAGGAGCCTGACCTTAGTCTTTCAGCCATGAGTACCAGGGATATCCCAATAATTCTGCAAGGTAGAAAAGGAGATGCTCCAACAACTCTAAGGTCACCTCAGGAAAATCCAATAGTATCTCAAAGCTGTCAGAGAATAGGTGGCTCCCACACATCTCTTAAAATTAACTCATCCCAACCCTGGTATTTAGTAACAGCTTTAAAGAGTATATTTATATATAAATCTATTAAAAAAAACACACACTATTGTGAAATTTACATGAACACACACAACTTTAGCAACACCATGTTTCCAGTGGAACTTGGCTATTAGCTGCTTGCAGTTTATATACAAAGCTGATTAATTAGAAAGGCTGCTACAGGGAGGCAAGCTTTCTTTCCAGGTTAGCCCCTGGCTAGAACAAGGATTTCCTGTACGTTATCTTCTAGGAGTCATCAATGTTAAAAATTGTAATTAGAATACCAGGGTGCAGTGGTTTGTAAACATTTTGTCTTAATATTAAATTAAAATCCAGTGCATTCTCACTCTCTGCTCTGACATTGTGGAACAGTGGATTGATATGATGTTTTAGGAATTCATGGGAGACAGAGTTTGGCCAATAAAAATCCTTTAGATGAGCTCATTCCTGGTGCCAAGTTATTGACCTTAGAGCAACACCAGGCATGAAATTGTTCCATAGTAGGATCACAGGCAAATTTTTTATGGGATGTAGGAGTTTCCATTCCGTGCTAGCAAAAAAGTTTAAGTTTTGCACCATCCCCACGCTACAGATGGGGACAGAGGTTTGGAGGGAAGCAGTTTGCCAAGCTCACAGGCAAGACCAGCAACACAGCCCAAAAGAGCTCCAGATTCCTGAACAACTGGCCTGTGTTGGAGGTGTTGGACGGCAATGCCCACTTCCCTGCTGACTCCTACAGTCCTCAACCCCCTTCTGCTAGGGAAAAACTACATGATACTGCATTTGGGGAAAGGCTGACAGGAAAATGCCTAAAGCAAGTGCATCAGGGATATAAAAAAAAAATATGCTAGGATATCTCAAGACAGGGAAAAAACCCTCTTCCTGTTACTCTTGAAGCTCTTCTTAGCTCCTTCCTCCTCTTTGCCAACTGCAGTCCTGAGTAATGAATGTCTGCCAGATCTGGGTGGCAGCTTCCTCAGACCCTTTCCTTGTGCTTCACATTAGCCAGCTTGACTGTTTCCTGCTCAGAGGCAGGTGGAGAAGGCTCATCATGACATCCAATCATCAGCTGATAGACCATCACTCCTGCAATGGCCCCAAGGAAAGGAGCAACAATTGGAACCCACCACCACTGTTTACCAGTCCTGGAAAATAAATAAAAAGAAAATGCAAAAGGTAAGAACTGCAGCCTATGCTTTAGGATCTGGAACAATGCAAGATCTGTCACTCCAAACATCATCATTAATGTGCAAAAGACAACAGTACCCACATGTCCACAGCTGTTTCCAAGGCAGATGTTGCCCACCACTGCAAGTTCAGGTGACAAGTAATTCAGAACAGCTACTTCCCAGATTTCCCAGACTGCATCTCCACCAAGAAAGGAGGGAAGCTGTTGCAGTGCCTGAACTAGGCACCTTCACTTCTCTCCCACTGCTTGCAGGAAAACATCCCTTGACAGCACATAGTCTGTACTACTCATGGCTCTCAATTTTCTCCAGCAACAACAAAATCCAAGTATAACAAATACTCTACATTTTCTACCACTAAAAAAATTATGATAGACTAATGTTCAAGGTGCACCTGAACTTTCCATGGATGCCCTAGATTTCCTCCCTGAGAGCAAAGTTAGGTCATTTGCTCTCACTGCTAGAAACTGACAAGCTTCTACAATTTCTTAAGAAATCTGAGCAGAGCAAACAGTGCCTTTTACAAAGGTTTACGAAATCCAAATACACCTCATGGCTGCATAAAGTCTCTGGGACCTACTGGGACTTGTAATTTTTTTTTCTCCTTGTTGCACAAGGTTTAATTAGCAAGCACTTACCAGAACACTTCAGTGCCCCAGCCAGCAATGGCTGTGAAGAGACGAGGCCCAAAGTCCCTAGCAGGGTTGACAGCATAGCCAGAGTTGAAGCCCATGGAAGTTCCAATAACAAGGACAACGAAGCCAACTGTGAAAGCCTCCAGCCCCGTGGGGACAGGGTTGTTGTAGGGATCGACAATAGCCAAGACACAAACAATCAGGGAGGCTGTGCCAATAAACTGGGGAAGGAGGTGGAAGAATAAGAAGAATTTAATCCAGATTAATCTTTTAACCAAATTATTTAACTCCTCTGAAGTCCCATGCATGCAAGACTCATTCTCTAAACTGAAAGAGCTGCACTAAGTCATGCCAGGGCATCAGCAGGCCACAGTAGACTACGCACCCACAGGAATGGGAGTGGAACATGCTCCTCCTGGCAACCCCTAGGCTCAGTCAAACCAACACCTTTTTCCCTACCCACAGAAGAGGTATGAATAGCTGTTTGAGCAGCCAGAAGAGCTGAAGACATGTGCTTTCAACCTGCCACAGCTGGGTGGATGCTGTCCCTTTGTGGTTGATGTCAACTTTAAGGAGGAGACAGTCACCTCCAACACTCACCACCACCCCATGCCCAGTTGACCTCTGGGTTGCACAACAGCCACAGTAGTACAGTGGGAGTGAGGAATAGCCATCATCCTTCCTCACACAATTGCTCCTCAGAGGCTGAGACCAAGTGGTATCCTTTCTACTGGTGTCTTGGCCAGTCTTACGCAACTGGTTAATCCCCTTAACACAAACCTTCTTGCTGCAAGGGTGCTTTCTGGCTCTGTCTTCCTATGAGTTAGTGAGATACCTGTGTCAGCTCTAAAACACCTTTCTGGATATCTTCCCTTTAAATTTCAATTTATTCTCTAACTGTAGGAGAGGCCTAACTACAACTACCCCAAAAGATTTCTCTTTGAACGCACCTTCATCCTCCCAACACCCTCTTACCTGGTCAAAGAATCCATTCACAATGTTCAAATGCTGAGACGGGTAGGTGGCAAAGATACCAGCAGTGCCATTCTGTCCTGTTACATACAGCTGGTTACTGCCAAAAGCCCAGATGGCATCTAGAGGAGGGGGGGATAGAAAGGTCAGTCATTTTCCAACACACAGAGAGAGGACCCTGCTTAGAAGATGACTAAAATGTAGGCTACACAAAGCCATGAATATTGAGACAGGATTCCCTGAGCACCCCATTGCTGTGTATTGCAAAACCATTTGCTGTAGAGCACTCATTTGGAAAACTTAAGGTGTGGTCTACCACAGCATTTTACCAGTCAGGCTCAGATACAGATGGCCTGAGCCCCTGTTCCTAATATTTCTTGTTTGCCAGGCACCAGGGAAGAGTTAGAGCCAGAAAGTAAACACTAAGCTGACTCCAAATCTCTCCCAGAAGCTACCCAAATGCCTGTGGTGGCAGTCTTGGTGTCAAGACATGAGATATTGCTACAGATCCAATCCGCAGCAAACAGGATTTGGGCTGATTTTGCACTTTAGACAATACGCCATTAGTTTCACCTCTCAGGGTTGTCCTGTAGAGCAGTCATCCCCTTGCCTACCACTATGTAGAAGCTGGATAACTAATCTAGGTGAGCTGTCAAAATTTCCTTCATGGTTAGTGGAGAGTAAAACAGACACTTTCTAAAGGTAGTGTTTCCATGGTTTAGGCATCTAAAATGGGATTAACTTTTCTGAAGAGGAAACTTCAGCCCACCCACTAGAACAGTAACTGGTGTTGAACTCATATCCTGATGATTACAGAGATGAAGGTATGTCCCCCTGCTTCTTTCTAAAGTGAAAAGCTAGTGCCAGGGTAGCAGTTTCCTCCCTTCACGTGGAAGCTACAGTGACCCAGATGTTCTGCTCAGCTACAGGGAACACTGCTCCTATTGCCAGAAACAGGCATCAGGAGGCAAACTCTGAGTCAAAGTGTCACCCTTGACAATTGAGGAAGAGCAATTTCCAGCACAAAGAGTCAGTTCTTGCCCACCAAATATTGCCCTGTGGTGAGGAATATCCCTCAAGAGGAATAGATGCATGAGGAACTGGATTTCTAGGATGCTTTCCAAGGTATAGAATCACTCTGATAAGGACAGCAAAAACTGCTAGAAGTCCTATTGTCTGGAAGCTAACACGAAACAATGCAGACGACATCCATGGTGAAGTTTTTGGGTTTTGGTTTTTTTTTAAACCAAGAAAGGTAAAACAGCTCTGGAACAACACACAACTATAAAATTTCCATTACTACTAGTGTTTCATCAGCATTTCTGAAAGATCTGGTTTAGTCCAGACAGTAGCCACAAGACGGGCCATCCAGTGGTCCATGTTACAGTGATCATTACTCAAGGACAAAGACCTGGACATTGACAATGCTGGTTGGCCTCCAGATTGATTTGAACTCATCATGAGAAAGCCCTCACAGAAAAACAGTAAGGAAGTTTCTCACATCTCTGCTCTACAAGAAAACACTTTTCTGATTTGGGAACCAGCATCCCTGTAGTGAGTCATGGAGAGCATCCATCTCACCCCAACAAACACAGAAAGTTTCTGCACTTACCGTAGTACAGCCCAAACACTATGCCAGCTCCCAGGAAAGCCCCCAGGGTTTGGGCCAGGGCATAAACTGGTAGCTTGATCCAGGGCTCCCGGGCCAAGAAGCACATGGCAAAAGTAACAGCTGGGTTCAGATGTCCACCTGCAGAGAGGTTGCTGGTTATTGCACTTTCACAGGCAGAATTTGTGTCCCAGAGATGAGCCAAGGGGCACTGGTTTCCATACCAGTGCCACAGAGGAAAAGCACAGCCATCTTGCCACAAATGAAACCCAGCCCACATGAGCCACAACGTACCTGATACCTGTCCTGAGATCAAGATGCCGAGCATCACAGCGAAGCCAAAAGCCAGGTTAACAGTCAAGAAACCTCCATGAGTCCCTCTGCTGAGCACGATCTGTGCAACAGATCCACATCCAAACAGCTAGGAGAAGAAGAGATTGAAATTACTCTCTCTGTTTCATGTAAGAGCCAGTTGCTGACCAGTGCTTGCAACATTACACTTGCACGCACCATCACAGCCCACCCATGACTCAAAGCCTTGAACAAGCCTATCTCCTGGCAAGGGGAAACAAAACCAGGGCCAAAATCAAAGGCAAGATCAGACCACAATTCACATCTCCAGGATACTGGAATTCTTTGTCCAACCATCTAATTTTCAGGTGGTAGGTGAGAAGAATCAGCCATACAGCACTCTGGATTGAAATATTTACAATGCAGCTGTTCAGATGAGGGATTGGGGCTGCCTCCTTGAGCCCAGGTACCTGCAATTGCCCTAGCCCCAAGGTACGGTCTCTGCTGTGGGCACTCTGAGCAGAATGCACGCCATCCCAAACAAGCCATCCCCCCCCATGTAACAAAGGATCAGGACAACACAGCTGGCCTGTCTCTGCAGCGCAGACACGGCACAGGCACTATCACGAGAAGTCCATATTCCACAGACAGCCTGCCACCAGCACATCCAGAGGCTGGGCCTTCTGTCCACAATCAGGCGTGCAGCAAGCATTTTGTGGGACAAAAGTTGTTTCTGCTGGGTGATAAGGGGTGTTCCCTAGTAGCTAAAGGAGGCATGTGCTCTTGTTCAATGACATTTGCTCCAAGCGGGTGATCCTTCTCTTCCCAACCACATCCAAAATCCATCCTTCCTATGCTCACGCTTAACAACCCAGACCAGTTTCCCCTGGCAGTTCAGTTCATCACTCATCCAGCTGGAGGCTTTCTGCCTGGCCAAGTCTCTCCACTACCCACTATGTAATTCAAGGAGCCCTAATCCTGATCATATTCCTGTTTTTATCTTCCACTGACCCCACCTGAATTGATTCTTGGTGTATACCAGGGATTATTTCATCAGCAGGTACTGAGAGCATCCTTAAACTAGGACAAGGATTACAGCTTGCTCCAGAGATCCTCAAATCTAGGGATCAAGGCCTACCTTACTTATACTGACCACATGCCCATATCTACACACTCAAAGACTTTCTGCTTCTGTGAACTCCATCATCCCAGGATTACTCAACTGCCACAGAGGCAGTATCTGCTCCTAGGGGATAAGCCACCAAACAGGCACCAGGGCAGCAGAGGTGGCTCTCTTCATTTCTCCTGCCAATACTGGACATGCCCATTGAGCAACACACAATCCAGATCAGGGGCAAAGCCAAAACACACCTAAGTCATCCCCTCCCATGCGCCTGACAACTGATGAATTACTAATAAAGCAAACACTGCACTCAGCCTTCTGGGAAAGGAGCAGCCAGGTAGGCTGTAGGCTGACTCACAAGGTGGACACTGTATACAGGCGCCTCTTGACAAGGAGCCAGGTCCCCAGCACAGGACCTTGTGCAGAAAGAGCAACAGAACCTGTAGAATTCATTAGTTAATGAGAGGGGACATCCAGCACTGCTCTGTACTGCTTGCAGTCAGAACAGCTCCCTCAATGTCCTAACCCTGAGCTGCCCCACTGGGAAACCATGGCAGAGAAGACACCCAGGCAAAGGGAGAAAAGATGAGTCTTGTTTATTGTGCAGCAAACAGAGCCCATCCATTCCAAAGGAAGGGAGGGAAGCATAGCTCCAATTGAGCAAATAAATACTGGCTAAAGACCAGGGTGACATCTCTTCCTTCCCTTACCCCAGAAGAGCCCCGGCATGCTTTAGACAGAGGTTTGAAGAGAGTACTTGGCCATGGTGTTCACTGCTCTAATGCCACATGGCACATCAGTCTGACCAGGGAGGGGATGAGCCTGCAAAAAACTGCAATGAGCATCTAAGTTTGGCAAGGCTGGCCCCAGGTTATTCCAACTGATGAAGGTATTTGTGTTACTCACTCTGAAAGAACTGGCAGTTCTGCAAGCGGATGGTGGTTGGCTTGTTAGTCGCATACCTTTTGGCTGCGGAAACCAGAGTAAAGTTTCCCCCTTCACCCCTCTGTTCACCCACAAAGGTCTTCCCTTAACCTGGAGGGTTGTTCCCCATCCTCCTCTCCCCCCATCCTACATCTGGTAATAGCTCTCCAGCTTTTCCTCAGACGAGAGTCTATGGGCCATGCAAAAACACCCCGGAGCCACTCCACAGGAGCATTACAATTATTTATCAGATGAGCCCTGAGCACTATTTGACTTAATTCAGCGTAACAGTAGAAAACTTGACCCTCAGCAGATAAAGAGAGTAAGGTGATATTTAGGGACAGGTTTGAACTTTGATATGCATGTGTGCAATTCCATGCTGCACCAGCAAAGTCCACTAAGCATGAACATGCATGACATGCTTTCTCGTGCATGACATCCGTCCATTGCATTTGACTTTCAGGAACCAGTTCAAATCATGCTCAGCCATGCTTTTGACAAGTGGCCTGACATTACAGTTTTTTTGTGGTAGTGGCTACTACAGTTTTTAATCACACCATTTCCACTCCTGCTATTTGCTAGTTTTTCCTTCCAATTCCTTTTCCTAGATCACACTAGACAGGACACCCTCAGCATCCATTTTTCAAGTCATTTCTTCCAATGCTCACACAGAAGCATTAGGAGGAGCTAGCTTGAGTTGAACGGCAAGGAAGGACAAATAAAAGCAATTTAGCATTTATCCCAGTTGTTTTTAAATCCATGCAATGTATGTAGAAGTACTTAGTCAATATTACAGTGCTATGGTCAGACACAATGGTGCACACCCAAGGCAGAGATGACCCCTCACTCTCAATTTAATAACCTGCCTCCAACACTACTTTTTTCCTTTCTTTTTGTTAAAAAAACCCCAAACATTACTGGAAGAACATCCCAGCCAACAGAAAGCCAGGCTAGCACCTCACAGGGCAGCAGTCAACGGTTATACCCCCATGATACACTAGCCAAGTTCAAAAGCAGTCTTAAAGTGCTAATAAAATGATTGCAACAAAGCATTACTCTGATGTATTAAGGCTACTCTCCTAGGAACCAAGGTCAATGCTCCCATTAACCAGGATAATGGAAGACTGCTGCCTAATTTCATCTTACCAGCTCTATCAGATCTAATGGCTTTCCCTGCCAACAGGGAGGCTTCTCACTCCCCATGAGCTGATGCAATTCCTTGCACTGTGAAAAATAACAAAATCCATGTTCTGAGGGATCCATGACTTGAACTGGTTCAAGGGGGGGGGGGGGGGGGAAAAAACTCAAAACACTG